TATTATTTTAATAAAATGTGTGCTAAGCCATACTAGTTGTTTAAAACAACACATAATACAATATTAAAAAAAAATAATAATTTATATTTTCGTATGTGCAAAAAAGTAGTGAATTTCAAACATGTGTACTTATTGTTAAACAGTTTTTTTTTATTATTAACTATAACTATTTAATAAAATAAAATGCTTGCGGTCAAATAAAATGGACGACAAAAAAATAAAATTAAAATATAAAATTAAATTAAATAAACGAAATTAAAGTAAAAAATAAGAAATATAAAAAAATTAATTAGGTTCAATTAAAATAAAGTATACATATCAAAACTAAATTGTGATACGCGATGGCAAAAAGCGTTCGCCCAATTGCAATGAAATGGGTTTTTTGATGAGAGAAAAAATACAGAACCAGGTTTTTTTTTGTAAATACATAATTGATTTATATCAATGATGCGTCGGTAAGTATAACGATAGCAGTATCGAAAAATATGTCGATAAAAAGAATTTGTCGATAATTATAACGATCGCTTGAACTATCGATATCGATAAACAATGAATGAGGCGACAGCCATATCGATATCATGTCGATAAAAGTGTTTGTAGAGAAAATATATCGATCGGTTAAGCTATCGATATCGAAAAATAACAATAAATGGGTCGATGGCCATATCGATAACATGTCGAAAAAAATTTGTGTAGAGAAAAAACCTTCGATAAAAGTACAAAACCATAAAATGTTTAACGTTAAATTATAGATCGTTGGTTTGGGGTAATTGACTAATATGCTGCTGGAATTGTGTAAACGTGGCACTCTTTGGCCATCGCTAGTCGCGACAACCAGTGCTATGCAGAGGTAAGCATAAAATAAATGTTTTAATTAAAGAAAAAACCTAAATAAAATAACACACCAATAAAATAGCACAATACAAAATAAAGTCAACAAAACGCATAATATCTATATATTGCACATAAATATTTAAAACCTTTAAGCACTCCAAAATGTATTTTAGGTTTTATAAAAGTGTGCCAAACATAATTTTCAAAAATCGTTTTTTTTTTTTTTAAACAGCTAAATTCGATGATTAGGTTATATAATACATATTAGTGTGTGTATATGTAGTTACGCCACCCTTAATGCAAAAGGTGCATTTGAAAATGTTACATACAAGCAGATATGAATGTGCCTAAAAATTTTCGACTGCTTAAAATTACTAATACACGCATACATATAGTGTAAATACACACATACAACTACTTAAATCTATGAATTTAAATAATAAAAAATGCAAAAAAATTTTGGCCTTGCATACGGACTTGGTTAACTTGTAACAATTCAACGCCCTTTGCACGAAATTATCGTACATACATATGTGCCAGAAACCAGATTTTAAAGAAAAGCATTTTTTTACTTTTCAAAATTTTCAAAACATTTTTAATTTAATTTTTTGTGCAAATTACTTTTGTATGGCACATACGAAAAAATAGGTCCAATCTCGTATTCCTCGGATTAAAACTAGTATAAAAAAATTGTGACGGTCGTTTGAATCCATGAAAAATTCCATTGAAGAAGTGACAAAATTGTCGTTTGGCAAAATTTCCCGCGGTCATATGAAATTATATGCAATTCATATATAATAGTTGCATTTACTTTATTTTAGTTTTAGAAATATTCAAATGTTGAAAATTTCTCCTGTAAAACTTTCCGACGGTGACTAATTAATTTTGTCGCGAATATTCTCAGAGTGACAATTGTCAGCACCATTGTCAGTATGAAACAGAAAGAATGTCGCCTAAAATTCTGGCTCTGAAATATTACGGAAAAATTCACAATGTCACCTGTCACTTTTATGAAATATACCGCGGTGTTGCGTTGTGGGGGTAGAAAAAATTCGCATCAAAAAGTAAATTTCGAAAAAATGGCACATACGATAATTTCGCGCATACTGGTCACCATTAATGCAAAAGGCCCTATTTAAGCTAGTCATGTCAGGTCCCCTCCACCATATAAGGCCACGAGGCACGCAGGCGAAAAAGCCCGTTATGATATTAGTGGCGGTAGCCATTTCATTTACACTGCCGGAAAAAAGTATTGGCAAAGAGTATTTTTCACAATATATACAACAATTTTTATTCTAATTTTTTCCGCAAATTTTTTTTTTATAAAAATATGGTTAATTCTACAACAAAAAACATAAAAATATAGTTTCTACACTTTGTACGAGAATTCGCGAAAATTTAATAAATTTTCATGCAAATATTCAACTTTCTAATCACTTTATTATAACAAAATTTTTATGGGTTACAAAACTGTAAACTAAAAAAAAAATCTAAAAAATCTAAATAAAAAGTTTATCGAACTTTCCCGAGTTTTGCAGTCAGTTTAAAAATTATATTTTTTATTTTTTTGTAGTATTTTTTTTTAAATATTAGCGGAAAAAAATAAAATAAAAATTGTATATTTTTCAAAAAATTCTCTGTGTACGTCTTTGCCTTGTCGTCTAAACGGTCTAAAAAGTACTTGCTGAAGAATTGGTTGCGCGTACTGGCCAAGGTGGGACAGTAGCTGAGATACTGCTCGATGCTCTCCCCTTTTTCCTCGCCCCTACAGCTGGTTCGGTATCTCAATCTTTTTGCCTGTGTGTCCAGGTATGTAATCTCCGGTTATTACTCCGGTCAAGCCGAATGAGAGCTTTAGAATGGGTTAGGTCAACTTTTGGCCAAATTTGTCTGGTGGTCGGACAGATGGGTTCCATGACCCAATTGATATTTAGCTCCTCCATAAATACCGCCTTTAATCTGTGTTTGCAGGAGGTTAGAGGTAAATATGCTCACGCCTTGCGCCTTGACCACAAATTTTCCGTTTTTTTCCTTGGTAACTCGTCGTCCTTGTTGTTGCCGGGAATGTCTAATACAGCAGTCAGGGGCATTTAGAAGTCAACAGGTTGTGAATCCTTCTACATTCCATGGCTACTTTGGATGAGGTTCCGTTCGATTTTAGAGATTGAACAGCAGCTTATCTATCAGAATATACAGTGCGTTTAGCTCTACTTGAAAAACGCTGCAGTGGTCCGGTAAGCGAAAACTGAGGTTTAGTACAAATTCAGCTTAAAACCCATCGGTACAGACAGCCGTCGACCCTGAGCCACCTTCCCACTCGTGTTGCTCTCCGGCATTCGTATGGAAAATTTGTTGTCTAAGCAGAGTAGTAGGTCTAGTTTTCGTAGATTTTCGTTAAAGTTTTCGGAACCTTTTGTATCCGCATCTAAGGTCTCTCCAGAGCTGGATCGCAATTTGCCTAGCAGCACCAGATCGGCCAGAAATTTACCATAGACATCCACCGGTAGGAGATTTAAAATTAATTCCAGAGATTTGGTGGTGTAGAGGGTAGTGCTACCGTGACAAGCATGGAATCCGTCCTGCTGTACCCGTAACATCTTTGCTCTGGACAAAGTCTTGTTTAAGGCCGGCCCCGGTAGAAAAGAATGGCTCTTATCACACCTATGTACAATGAGTGAAAATATATATGGTTTTATTTCGCATTTTTGCCAATAACTAGCCGTCCTACAAGCGTACAGGGCGGCAATGGCTTTCCTGTAGCGGTCTCCTATGCTTCGCTTCTAGTCGAGTTGCCTGTTTGGAATAACTGCGAAGTACTCTGGTCGCATCCCCCAGTTCTCTTTTCCAGAAGAAGCCCAACAAAATCCACCATTCGCCGCTGCACCCCCACCTGAAAGAGGGACTTTACAACAGTTTCAGGGTGGGCTGTTATTGAAGGCGCCTCGATATTGAGAAAAACTCCCAGCGTGTACTCCTTGATTTCATGAACGTGGCGTGTCTTTCGGATACGGATAATGGTTCGAGAGAGTATTACATAGTCATTTACGTCTATAATCAAATTTTCGTTATTATTATTGTGTCGTAAAAATATTTACTTTTTAGCAATATTTTTTATTTCATTTTATCTAAAAACTGGATTTGCGAACAAGGTGAAATAGGGCCTCTTGCATTGATGGTGACAACAGGTATTTTATTATACATAATTAGGGTGGTCCAAAAATGCATGTGAAAAAGTTAAGTCGGAATTTTACCTCTCGTCCTCTAGGATTGTTCTACACCAAAAAATATACCCTAAATTTTTTATTTTGAAACCAAAAAAATAAAAAATAAAAATTCAGAGGACGCTCAAAGCCCTAAAAGTTTTCCATGTATTTTATATGGGGGAAACTTTCCTAGAAATGTTATAGAATTCTTGAAAATCAATATTTATCTTCAGGAGATTCCCAATAATAATACAAAAATATTTTTTTAACCATTTTTTCATAGTACTATATTTTATAGGTCCGCCAAAGATCCAGAAAGTGCAATGCGGGGACCAATAAAAGATTTTTAGTATTAAAAATGGTTAAATAAAAATTTGGTTTTTATTATTGGAAGTCTCCGGAGAGAACCAGAGCTTTCCGATCGAAAAATATCGATTTGCAAGAATTCTATATCATTTGTATGAAAAGCTGCTTTTTTCATATAAAAAACTTTGAGCGACCTCTAAATTTTTTTTGATTGCAAAATAAGAAAATAGGTGTATATTTTTTCGAAATAGAATAATCCTAGTGGGTGAAAGCATTAAAATGCCGACTTTATTTATTTTGGCCACCCTAATGTACACACATACTCGCCATTTTGGTGTTTATCTACAAGCCATCTTTTTTTGCACAATAAGCAATGCGATATTTTCCAAATCTGAAAAAAAATTGTGCGGATGTGTGTTGCGTTGTGTACGAGTTTCGGTGTGTGTGTGTGTGTGTCACTAGCGCTAATTTGAATTGCACTATTCTATCTTCTTCCGCCTTCCGCCTAACGGGTCGCCTCAGCGCAGATGCTTTGCCTATTCACACTGCGCTATCTCGTACTCCTCCGCCGCCGCCAAGGCAGTGCCGCGTGCCACATGCTGTTGCAATGAAGCAGACTCAACCGTTGCTGCCGAAGTTGCAGGTGGCGCATGGGCTGCGCTTGCAAAATTTATAGTTTGGCTGTTGGGAGCAGCAACTCTACTATTCAAGTTACTTACGCCTCCGCTTTCGCTACCACAGCTAATACTTACATTGCAATTGCAGCATTTGTGTTGTTGCTACTGTGGATGCTGTTGCTTGACGCAGGCGCCGCATTCAGCGCCGTTTGCTGCTTGACTGTCTTATAACGCGCCAACACTTCGGCCGATGCTTGCCTCAACGTCAATGCCATTTGTCGATGTACACGCTCCATCAGTTCGGGTAGATCGTCTTTGGTTAGATTTGTTGTGCTTATTGGTGGCATGGCGGTTATGATTATATTGCCTGCATTCAAAATTTTCATCTTATCATTGAGGAAACTACAATACGAACTGAAGACTACAGGCAGTATGGGTATTTGTTCATCGATGGCCATGTGAAAGGCGCCCTTCTTGAAGGGATGCAATTCCGCGGTGTTGCGACGCGTACCCTCCGGAAATACCCATAATTTGATTTTTTCCTTCTTTACGCGGCTATTAACGGCATTCAGTGTATTGCGTGCCTTTTCGCCGCGTACACGATCAATGAAAATGAGGCCGGCCAGCCAGGCGGCCAGACCAAAGGGCCAGGCATAGAAGAGTTCACGTTTCGCCACCACAGTGCATTTGTTCATTACGTGCCAGATTTCGAACATACCTAGCAAAAAAGGGAGGTAGGGGAGATTTGGATGAATAGTAATTTACATAATACATATTTTTGTATTTACATACATACATAATTATATTAGCAAATCTCGCGAGTTGTTTTTTTCAGTGTTACTTCCTTTTCTCGCCAGAAAAGAAACGCTAAAGCCAAGGTACATTGAACAGGTAGTATCAGTAGAGCAGCTGATTTGATTTATTTTCAAATTATTTGGTCTCGAAAATGTCAAATATTTTTTTTCCATACAAAACAAGCGATTGAATAACAGCTTTTGGAACGTTCGCCCAACTCAGCAGCACAACCGCTGATTACTGGCCCTTGTAAAGAAAGTTGCATCAATTTTTATTTTTTCCAATTTCAATTTTTTATTTTTTATAATTTTTTGTATTTCACATGGCACGCTTTGATTTAGAAGAAAAAATTCAGAACAGTTTTTGACACTTTCGATACCAGAAGCAACAACAAAATACACGCAAATGTTGTTTTTGCTCTACTGATACTACCTGTTTAATGTGCCTTGGCTAAAGCATTCTTCTAGCATATATTTGAATCAATGGAGTTCCAGAAACAAGTACAATAAAAAAAAATCAAGTATTTCAAAAATGTTTGCCTTAAAACGTTTATTTAGGTGAAAAAGTACCGAAATTATTCTGCCTTATCCTGAGTTTCGCCTGAAAAAAAATTCACCCAAAAATTCGTCATCCGCCCATAGTAAAACCATGGAAACCAAGAGTGAAAAGTGAACCGGTTCGGGGAAAATGAAACTCATGATAAGGCTGATTCATTTTTTTTTATTGTCATTCGGCAAAATCATAATTGCTTCTTTTTAATAACTTTGGGAAGTTTTCAAAGAGAATGTTCATATTAGTGGCAATGGACGTTGGCAGCAAATACAACATATCTGTAAAGTTTCAAGAGTGTGCCACCAAATTCAAAAAAAAATGGCAGCATGCAGAATATCTGTCGCAGCTATTTTGTAATTTTTGAAATCTTATGAGGTTTTTCATTTTAATAATTTAAGATACTTCAAACTGTTAAAATTAAACGGTGAAAATGGTGTTGCCAAAACGAAAGAATCTAGTGTAATAAAGCTAGTGTTCCACCAATTGAAAAAAAATTACATTGACAAAACTAAAAACACGTTTTTGTCAAAAATGTAATAACTCGTGAGATTTGCTCGTATGCCTATGCGCGCTTATTTACCTAGTATATCCAATGAACTCTGATGATTCGCCACAATTATGCATGCCTGCTCCTTTTCCAGATGTTCTTTGCCGCGAAGTTCCCAACGGAGACCGATCAAAGTCGATACGCGGTGGCAAAAGGTGCTCGCCCAACTGCAATAAAATGCGATTTTTTGGTTTAAAAAAAAATGTAAGGTCAAAAATTATTTTCAAGTAAATTATCGATAAATAGCGGTAAATATATCGCAAAATTTTATAGACATTATCGAAAAGATATCGAAAAAAATGTGAGTAAAAAAAAATTCGGATCACTGATTATCGAGAAAAAATACGAAACCAATCATTCTGTTTTACAGCCTCATTCTGTATCACGAACACGAATGCTTCAAAAATTAGAGACCATTGCAACGTAATGTATGAAAAGCAAGACGAAGACGACCGATAGAGTTTAAAATCGCAATCTGAGAGGTTGTCGTCTGCAGACGAATCGTTCGTTTTGCCTATGGTTCGTGATACAGAATAAGGCCTTTAAATAAATTATCGATATGGGCCGTATGAATAAAAACTAAGCAATTGCCACTGTGGTATAGTGCTTAGCAGTGCGCGCCACCACTCCACAGGGCCTGGGTTAAAGCTGGTCAAAGCAACATCGTTGAAAAATATATAGAAGAAAGGTTTATTCTTAACAGCGGTCGCGCCTCGGCAGGTAATGGAAAACCTCTGCGTGTATTTTTGCCATGAAAAACAGCTTCTCATAAAAATATAATCCCGTTCGCAGTCGTAGGTCCCTCCTCTTTGTGTTAGCAATAAGGCCATCGCGCTCGCGCTGACGTATTAGCGTACCTACGGGTATGCGGAATGAGTTAAAAATAAATAAATCAAGTTGCAAAAAAAGGTCCAACCGAAACAGTAGGAATCGTAATAGTGACCTGCATGAAAAGATATATATTTAAGAAATATTTTTGGATATCGTTTGTTCGATTTTATTTTATCGATAGTTTAATTTTTTGTCAGATCAGGATTTTTATTTTTATCGACTTTTTTTAATCAACTGTTGGCTAAACACACATATGTATGTATATACATATATATGTAACTATACTAGAATAATCGAAATACTTAGTAAAATTTTAATGATTTTTGGCGAGCTTTATTTTACTATCATCATGGTGGTACTTTAAAGGGGGAATACACGACACATCAAGCTCGAAGCATACAACACACCAGCATGCTGGTACCATATTTATTTCTTCACAAATAATTATTATAAATTATTTCTTTGATATAATATTAGTTTTTTAATTAAAAAATTCAATATAACTAAAACCCGCCCACGCCTACAAAATATGGGAATTGATTTTGGCCCAAACTGTGGTGCGCTTAAACTATGAAAGGTAAAAATTACTAACAACAATGTATACATTTACACCCTTTGACATTGAATTACGACCGCAAATGCGGTGCACTCGCACCTNTTTTTTTTTATTAACAACAGCGATTTTGCCATTGGAAAGTTAACAATAATTGCATGAAAAATGCATATAAAATTCACTATTCCATTAATGTGTGAGTGCACGTGTTGAACTTTGACACATTCACAAGGGAAAAGCGCTTAATGGTAATAAATTAGTTTCTTACTTTACGATTAGGTTATAGCATTTTTAATGGGGTTGATAAAAATATTGAATTACAATAGTTTAGTTTAACTCATTGCGCTGCCCAGAAGAGAGTGTATCTCCATGCCTATCGCTATATATTTTTAAACCATTCTGCTTCCCTAGCGAGTGCTAACCCAACTTCCAACAGAGTTATCCTTTTAATTGAAATAAACAAAACAGTCTTGTACTGCACTTAAACGGAATAAGCTATCTAGACTCCCGAAGTAGTGGTCCACTTGAAGCTTGAGGCATTTTCTCCTGAATCCGGGACACCCGGAAAATAAGTGTTGAACGGATTATATATCTTATTCGTCTCTGCAGCTTTTGCAGAACCTGCGCCTCCGAACCTGGCAGCCATGTGGCCGGGATAGTAAATTTTCTTTCTGTATTACTACGCAGAAGCAGGGTTGATCCTTGGTCTTGGCAACATCTAAATTAGAAAAAGCTTTTTCTAACAGCGGTCAATAGTTTGAAATGAGACTTACATATCGACACCTGAGTGGAAGATCGACCTACCTCGGCAGCCAGTTCGAAAACGCCCTATCTCAGAAAACTTTTCATGAACGCCCTACTTCAGATATTAATTTCAGAATTTTATTGAAAAACACCCTATCTCAGAATTTTGGTTGAGCAACGCCCTCAAAAACGTCCTATCTCAAATGAAAATGTGCTGAGATAGTGCGTTTGTGAATCGGCAGCTAAGATAGGGCGTTTTCGAACCGAACTCTGAGATAAAGCATTTTTCAAATAACTTCTGAAATAAGGCGTTGTTGAAAAGTTTTGTGAAAAAGGGCGTTTTCGAACTGGCTGCCCAGATAGGTCGATCTTCCACTCAGGTATCGATATACATAATCTAAGGCTAGGCTGCTCTAAGGCGACTGCATCTTCAAACCTAGAGAGAGCTCCAAGGGTAGCGCTTTCCAAATGAAAATCCCCTTTTTATATCAGAATACTAAGGGTCCGGTTGAATTATTTTCGGAGGCCTATGACTATTAGCTGCTTAGAAGAGGCGCAGTTGGAGGTTAAAGTTGGAAGAGGGTTTTTGGATCTTCATGATCGAAATTCCACTTCCCAATTACCGCAGGCAAATATGTAAGTGCTAGTAGGCCTTGGACTGGCTGTTGCCTTAGGGGAAGCCGTTTACAGAAGCCAATATTTACTTTGATAACAAACCGTTGAAATAGTTCAACAAAAGATTGCATTTTACTTTGGACTTTTCTGACACAACGATACTGGTAATATTAAATTGCAAGACCCACGAACAGGCAACAACTGGAACACCACCGAGGCCACTTCTTCTGGCAGGTATGTATGTATATATGTATATCCTTTTAACAGCCTGCGAGCTTCTTTTGGAGCGAGAGACCTTCCTTCGTCTCAGCGGTGAACGCTGCGTGAAAGTCTGGACACATAGTTACGATGTTTTTTCTAACGGTTGTGGACGGACAGATATTTCATTTTAAGTTGGCAAAGCTGCAGCTTTTGGCCGACCATTTTTCGATAGGAAACCAAGCGATAAGATTTAAAGTTACTTTCGGACAATCAGAGAAGTATGTAGCTAGTGAGCTTTTACAAAGCTTATGTTCAAACATCTTTGCACCCATTTAATAAAAACTCGTGAAAAACTCTTCGATAAGGCCTCAGCTGCGCTATGATGAAAAAATAGTAGCGCCTTTGCAGTCATCGTAATTTTTCTGTTGTTTACACAGTAATCCAGTAAAAGTTCTCAGGCGGGTACCTTAAGGATCAGTGAAATTACAAATACCCCACGAAGCGAAATATATTGTGTCCACAGTTGTAGATGGGATGGTGTTTAAATCGCTTTTAATGAGCGGATGTAATGCCACATTCCCTATCATATACGGAGTAAGTATGTATTTCCGGAAGAAAACTCGTTACGAGGCTGAATTTCAAGTAGCACTAAGATTGTACAATGCAAGTGCTAGGGAACCCAAGAAATATATCAGACGACTACTGACAAGACTCTGAGGTTTGGGCAGATGCTTTTAACATGGCTTCATGCAGTCGAGGAATTAAATATACCTCTGCATACAGTCCGCTTAAACCTGGGGTCTGTTCTGTGCCTAAAACTATTTCGGAAAGCTGAGCGCTTGTCCAGCCACAACCTATCGATTTACTGGCTACGTCCACCGCTACTAACTGCACCATTTCATCAAGCTTACGGACGCTTGCAAGAAAGCACCATAAAAGAATGGTAGAAGCAGGAAAACTCATCCACTAATAGCCTTTGAGCTTACAAGCTCATCTCCACTATCCAATACTAGATACATAGCGCGCATGGAGAGCGTCTCTATAATATTACTTCAGCTGGTCAAGGTCTTTTTCGACGTTACTTTCATAGCTTTGAACTCCCTCTATAATTCTGCATACTTTTCGTTTACGGAGAAAGCGATCCAGCCAGAGGGTAACTGCGAAGCAGTACGCACTGTAGCACCTGCAATACTTTCATGAGTTGACACCAGTAGCTGAAGCGGTATTTTCGCGACAACCGAAGACCCCGAAGGGATTTACGTACACAAGATGCTGACTCCTGACTTGTGTGCGGAGTGGGGCGGAAAGGTGGTGTAGGTGTCAGCTTATTATGAACCGCAATAAGACGGGTACTGACCTTAGAGACTAGTGCTCAAATTCACTTGCCAACGAATTACCTGCCGCTAGAACCAGGAGTTGGATTAAAAAGCAACGGGAACGAGTCTTCGAGGACAAGACGAAGCATCTGCTGCCATCAAACAATTAGTCAGCGCGCCTCGGCGTCCATGTCACCAATGGCAGTTACAATTTCGATAACAATGTCAGCCTTGAAATTTAACGCAGAAGTAAAGTCCTCTCTCGACGTATAAAAATCGCACTCGGGTAGGTATGTATATAGCGCAGAAACATGAAAACTGAAAAATCCTATCCGGCGGCCCTTGGAGTATTCGAGATAAAGATACAGCGGCTCCGCTGGCTTGGCCATTTGGTACGAATCGGCTCCAATCCTGAGAGTATTCAACTCGGAAACCGCTGGTGGTAGCAGTGGAAGAGGGAAGACCCCTCTGCGATAGAAAGATCATGTGGAGAGGGATTTGGTTTCAATTGGAATATCCGATTGGCGTCAGTTGGCACAGAAGGGAAACCACTGGCGCTTTATTAAACTTGGCCAAAATCGTTTAGACGGTTATAGCGCCAAACAAGACGGAGACGGACCAGGAGGAGACACAGCAATTAGGCAGAAGGAGTTTTATTTGGGTTAAAGTCTAACACTGATGTTTTTGAGTTAGGCTTTCGATGCTTCCTCTCAAATAATAATAATAATTTCGATTGCTTTTGAACGTTTTCCGAACATTTTATACACCCACACACGCACAGATTGATATTTTAAGCTATCCCAACAAGCATTTCAGTAAACGTTTTTTAAAAAATAACTTAAATTAAGTTTGCTATAATAAGCGTTAAATNTATAAATAACTTAAACTTATAAATGAAATGTAAATGCCAACGACATGAAGTAGTAAATATAAAATTTTTTCAATCGTAAGTGACGTGTTTACGTTTTTTAAAATATATTATTAAAAGAAAAAATTAAATAAAACCGATGTGGTAAAAAAAAGTCCAATCCAGGACCCGCTGCGCTAATCTGTGGAGCATTCGAGTCTTCAAATGATGAGTTCCCCTTATCCTTTCTTAGTTTAATATTCAATTAAAAATGTATTAAATTTTTTTCAGAATGGTGCATCAATGAGAATGGCGGCGATGAAGCGGAATATATAGCTGCATCGATGTCGCTTTTCCGATTTGCCAATAACCGCAAGTAATTGAAAGCACGCAACAAGATGTAATAATTAACTTTTTTATGCTTATTTTATGTGTTATTGTGAATTTGTATGCTAAAATGTCTATTCCCTATTTATATTTTCGCGACTGTAGATAAGTCCGCCGAAAATTCGCATTTCGTTTAGTTTCTAGATGTTAAGCAATCTATGTATGAGTTTTTAATGAAATATCTTTAAATAAAGGGTTATAAAAATGATTTATAAAAAGCTTTCTTTTGAAAATTTTTAGTAAGTTTATATTGATACGCTTATAAAAAACTTTTTTTGAACTTTATTATAAGTTTCACTTTTACGCTTATACAAAGCTTTCTTTTGAACATTTATTACAAGTTTATATTTCTACGCTTATAACCAATGTTCCTTTTCGATTATATTACGCTTACTTTCAAGCGTTTTATAAACAAAAAATCAACGTTTTGTAAGCTAATGTTTATAATTGAAAACTTAAAAAAAACTTTCTTTAAGTTTATTTTGCTTGTTGGGTAGGAGCCGCAAACACTTAAAATTAAAAAAAAAGAAACAACTTTTTTTAAATAAAATTTCATTTATACTCACAGCAAATTTCGCACATCGAACGGTCGCAACAGGAATGCGGTATCAAAATGATGGAATTTATCGACACAATGCCATAGTAGATGAAAAACTTGAAGTAGTAACGAAATATGTGACTATTCTCGTAGAAGAACGGAAATGGCAACATAAGCAGCAGAAACAGTGCAAACAATTCAAAATACGAGGTCATCATGGGAAGGCGAACACCACCATCAACTGGAGCCTTTGGCCAAGCGGACAGTTTGCGCTGGAGCGGCTGCTTGCGACTAGTTGTTACTACGATATGATTGATTTGCTGATTTATTGTTTGTCCGTTTTTATTTTTTGGGTTGGTTGTTTGTTGTTTGGTGCACTTTGACAACTGACAGTCGTAAGTAAATCGCTTGTTTCACTTAACTATTTGATTTGAATTAGTTACTTGTGCGCCCTTGCGTCTGGCTTTGTTGACAACAATGCTCGCGTCCGTTTAATGGGTACCGCCACATTAATGTAGTACAAAATGCATTTCGTCTTCGTTGGTTTGGTGTGGCGTGAAAAGGGCACAGGGGCTGCGCTGCAAACTTTTCACTCCCATGCGTAGGATTATCATACTACTTGGGCTTAATGCTTTTGTACCACTTTTCAATTGCAATTTATTTATTTTTTGTTTTTTTTTTGTTTTAGTGTTTACACTATGTTTACACTCGTCAATCGCGGTTTTGCTAATACATTGTGCACTTACTTTTTAGCGTTCTTTTTGTACGTTTATTTCAGCGCGTTGTATTTTTTTTAATTTAATGCATCGCAAATATTATTTTTTAGTTTAAATTTTAAAACGACTTTGCGGTCTTTAGTTCTGTGAGTATAAATGCAGTTTGTGCCATGGAATACTGATTCATTGTGCTCGTCATTAAATTTGCTGCGCTTTAATGTTTACTTTTGAAAATTTGTTTTTTTTTTAAGCGCACTGTTTACTAATTCTATTTTGCGCAGCATTCGATTTTTGTGTTTTGACAACTGATACATTTAACACTAATTAATGTTGTTTAAAGCTGTTTCATTAGCATTTATTGCGCTTCACTTTTCTATTAGGCGGTTTACATTATATGTCACGAAGTTGCGGTTTCCATTTACATTTTCCCTTCTCACTTTTATTAACGTTTCCTGCGTTAGAGGAAAAATCGATTTTATTGCAGCACTGAAACATACATATGCATGTATGTATGTGCAAACAAACGAACGCAGATATATACAAAGTTTGATGCAGTAAAATTGCAATTATTTTATAGCCATGCATAAATAATTTTTACTTTAGTTATTACGGGTAGAATGAAAATGAAAGGCCTTGTATGCATTCGCGCACAACCTTTTAGCGGCAATGAGTTGCAGATATAAAAAATGCTTGTTGGCAGAAAATTCCCTTGTGTAGTTAACAGCATGCGGCGTTGAGGCCAACGAGGACTAGATGTTAAAAAATAGTACAGTATAGGAGTGTATGGCATGATATTGAAGGCGGTTTGGACAAATGCAGCATCTACGCGTACTATGAAACATTAGTCCATACAGACACGTTTTTGTGTTGGCAAATAAACAATCCTCACGGAATGAGAAAAGTTCCTTATCAGTACTAAATAAATTTATGGTAAGGTATTTTTAACTGTCAGATATTGGGACCTGTCGAACTGCCGCCAACGCTCAACTCTCACAGTTATTTAGAGTTTCTGCAGGAACGGCTTCCAATATTATATATATTAGAAGATTTTCCCTTAAACCTGCGGCGAAGACTAGGGCTGCAAAATGACGGGTGCCCTGCTCACTACGGGCACGAAGTAAGAGTTCACGTGGCCCGCTGGATCGACAGATTTGAATCCATTCGATTTCTTCTACTGGGGCTATCTTAAGGACAATTTGTTCAAATACAAATACAATTCAAGTAAAAACAAAGATAAATATGTATAAAGAAAAATATTAGGATGAGGATACCGATAAAAGTTAAGATGAAGATAGAGGAAGAAATATTAAAATAAAGGTAATTATAGAAAAAAGGATATAGGCAGACTCAATCTGGGGACTATTTCGGGATTTTAGAGGTTTTCGGAATTCGCGGGACTTATCGATATAATAATCGATAATTTATCGGTTTTGTTATCGATATTTTTTATAGATTTTGTTATGGATGTTTTAATAAATTTTTTATAGAATTTGTAATCGATTTTGTTATCGATATTTTTATCGATGTCGGTTTTGTTATCGATTTTGCTATCGATTTTGACATCGATTTTTTTATCTATATTGTTGTCGATTCTGTTATCGATATTTTTATCTATTTTGTTATCGATGTTTTTATCGATTTTGTTATCGATATTATTATCGCTTTTGTTATCGATATTTTTTTCTTAGTGTGTGCTCTCGTTTTTGACTTGGATGTGCTCTTAACCATACCACGTATTCTACGTTTAAATTTAGCGGCTGTGTCTCCGATACAGCCTGCAGACCAAGACGAAGGCGTCCAGCGCCTTTTTTTAATCACAGAAAATATCAGAAAGTTAAAAATCCCAAAATGGTCCTAATTTTATAATGGTTCCTTAATATATCTTAACTACATTGCATTTGAATATGGTGAAGCAACTATTTGGAAGTATTTTACATAAAAAATTTATTAAGTATAGCCTTGTTTGTAGATGCAGTTAAAGAAAATATATGAAAAGGCCCGAAGGTCATAAGTTTATAAAATTCTCTCAAAATTACCAAATTCTCTAAAAACACCAGTTCGGTAACTTTCAGTTATCACTTCTACCACATCACTCGTTCGTAAACGGTGCTGCAGTATGGATCACACGCCCCAGAAAAATTTGGTACAAACAAGAAAATATATTAATGAACGTTAATACTTAAGTATAAACGAAAATGCAAGTAAGTACATACATAGTTATTCCCGATTAAGTAATTTCTACACATTTTTCCAATTCCATAGAGAGGCGCGACACTCCGGTTGATGATCTATGCATACATGTGTGTATGGGCATGTATACATATGTACATAAATATTTTTCATGTGACTGTAACTATGTAGAAATACATAATAAGTAAATATGTATGTTCATATGTACAATAAAGAATTTAGCATACAATCGCTTTCATGACAATCTACTAAAAGCAAAATTATTCAATTGGAACGTAATGACGTCCAGCAACAGTTGACAGTTGGTGGACGATGTTGTTATTGCAGTTGATTCAACAATAAATAATACGTTGGAGACTTCAAAAGATGGAACTGTACGAATAAAAGCATAAACATACATACAATATAATAGGAGAAAAAATTATGTTATGAATAATATAAAACATACCAGCAAATTCATAAGCACATAAAGTAATTAGGGGCAATATGTAGAAGAACTCAATCAAAAAGGAAACGACCGGCGAGGCGTGTGTAGCCGCGGTGTTAGAAGGGATGGTCCAACATACATTTATGTTTGTAAATACATACATACATGTTTATTAAAAAAGAAAAATAATAAAGCCACCAGTTGGGAGGATTGCAGCGTACAGTGGGACGTTCCCATGTGAGCTGCGGCCAAAAGTAGTAACCGTACCATAAATTCGCTGAAATGCTCTATTCTGCACCTAGGAATAAAAAAATGTGGGAAATGGTGAAAGTCGACGAATTGCCACGCCCACAACTCTTGTGGGCGGATATGGTAAATGCTATCCGATTTTTATGAAATTCAGAGTATATGCTGGTTTAAACGAGAAAAGCATATATCGGAAAGAACGTTAAAATCGGTTAATAATGGAAATGAATTAAAAAAAATTTATTTTGATGAAATTTGGTGTGTCCTGCTCGTTTACTCCAAAATTTTCCATCCGGAAAGATAATGAAGAGTTTCTCACTACGATGCCCACCTCGTACAAAACTTATTTGGCTACAACTCAATGGCAATTTGGATTTTTTTCTTTCGATGTGCTCCATGAATTTTAATTTTTGTTTACACTTTGCGTAGAAATGTCAGAGTTTGTTTATCTTTTTTGACATTATAGAGTACAAAATCAAAAACAAAATGCACGCAGCTCTGTTTGCTCTAATTGTTTAATATGCCTTTGCTATAAGTACTAAATTTAACAAACGCATTTTTTTAATTTCTAAATCAATTCCTTCTTTTAAAAATCAAATAAGTTAATAGTAAAAATAAATATTTTTAAAGCAAGTTTTCTAAATATAAACGAAATATATCGACTTGTGCGCCACCTATCGGCAAAATTTTTAGTGGATATCAACCAAATCGGACTATAGATACGGTTTTTTTCAAATATCTCGACTCCTGCGCCATCTATCGGATTAATTTATATTTCATATTGGTTCTGAGCCAACTGTGAAGTTTCAAGTCTCTAAGTCATCGGGGAGTTGGTCAAAAATCGATTGCAAGATTTGCCCCTTACATGCATAATTAGATACATACATACAGAGCAAGTTAAATTAAAGTAAATACATTCACAATACCATTTTTAGTAAAAATTCTTTTAGATTTCTGCTAGTTAAATTTTGGTATGAATCTGCGTAATGGGCCTTTCAGAATTCGCTAGTCCGTTTTGGCCGCTGTAGTCCCAATGTGCGGCGTTATTTATGCACGTACAAAAAAATCCGTGCTGTTTTTACACCGGTGCACAGTATAAAATTATCGACTGATTTTGTTCAAAAAGGTTGGAAATACCCGATTTAAAAAGAGGTTTTGATTTTTATCAGCATATCGAGCCCTAACCGCCAAAATAACGTAAGCGAAATTTTTTTTCAAAATTTTCTTTTTGATAAAGAAATATTCCTAGAGCATCTAGATGTTGAAAAAGTAATATGTTTCTTGGTGACAAATTTAAGATTCTAAAATTCAAAATGGCGGATCCAATAAGGGTGGATGCTATCTAAAACTTTTGTGGATAAAGTGTGACATATTGAATCGGTTGTTTTGAATTTCGTGATTATTTATATCGTCAGAATCGAGTTCAAAGATCTCGGAAAATATATTTAACACATTTAAAATCTAAATTGTTTCACCAAGAAAAATAATACTTGAGTTTGATGTTTTTTTTTATTTTAGCGTTTTCCACCATTTGCTGATAAAATTACAACTCTGTTTCTTAATTCGAGCCTAGATAATCTTTTCTAAAATTCATTACAAGTATTAAAAAAATTATTCAATGCAATTAAAAATTGACTACTCTAGACTTTTTTAAACCAAATCAGTCGAAATTTCCCACTGTGCGGTGTTATAAAATTTAGTTTTTTATAAATAAAAATATGTTTTAAAAAAATCAACTTAGACGGTCTGCATAAAAACGTTTAATAATTTTAGAATATAGATATTGCATTTTATAATTCTGTTGAAAAAACAGTACCGATTTTTTTTTTGTATGTAGAGAGATGCGCCCTAGTGTACATACTGTCCAGTCATATGTACAGCTATGAATTTATGTAGATGCACATAAGATGTATGTACGCGCATCTGTCTATTTAGAACACATTTACTTTTAGAAGATGAAAGCACAACAAAAACAATTAAGGTACACAGTACACTACAGCGCTTTTCCCATTCATATGCAAGAACAATTGTGTTCAGTATTTACATACAAATATTTTCTATTAAATTTATAATCCGCTTTGTTTTTTTATTCTATTTTCTAACGCTTTTCCTATGATATCCACTGTTTTGATCGATTTTTCGCATAACCGCACCATTTTGCAAATACTACATACATGTATACAAATCAAATTAATTAGCAATTTTCATACTTTTTAACGTTGCACTCAAACTTTAACAATTCTTGTTCACAACTTCACAAGTTTAATTATTGATTTGAAATGTTATAAATTACAACCGCTTATTAGTTATATCGGTTGTATGTGTACGTACAACCACACAACAAAGCGCAGCTGCCAAAACGCAACCACCACTTCCGACTGTTTTTAATCAACTGTTTAGCGGTTTGTTATGTTCCACATTTGATGCTGCCACTATGCTGTTGCGTGAAAAATTTATTGGATTCTATGAAATACAACCCTGCCGTCAATTGAACAGCTGCCACTTTCCGGCTCCCGGCTCGCATGAGCGAAAGTTACTTGTCAACAAAGCGGATATCCTGGAGGTGGTTCCCTTTAGCAAAAATGTGTACTAAAATAAGATAATAAAATAAAATGAAATAGGATGAAAATATTTAGCTACTCGTAAAAAGAAACAAAATTATTTCCATTTTCCACACTCAGGCACACACCATATTTACGCGTTCACACTCATTGCTCTCTTTTACGATAATTCTGAGCTGTAAATAAAAACATTTTGTACAAATAATATTCATATTTTTCATAAATTTTATTAAATAAATTTTTGCAAATACAATACAATTTCCATACATTTTTGTTTATTTACGAGTCCACTGTTGTAAACATTCAAATTAATTTTGCTTGCAATGTTGTATTTATGTATGTAAGGGTTATTAGTACATTTCCATATTGTGGTTAATTTAATTTGTTCCAGACATTTACAGATTACACAAAATCTAATTACAATTAAGACTTTTTAATGTTTTTGTGTTTTTTGCTTGACAATTATGAATTGCGCTTTTACTTTTGCAGCTGCGCCTTTTAGTAATGATAATGATAATAATTAATCATATATGTTATATGTATGTATGTAAATATGTACGGGTATGAGTTAATACATATACAGTTATTGTTTTTGCTATTTTTTAATATATATTGTTGTTTGGTTTCCACAAGTGACATTTGAGTGGGCCTTAGCTTGGTCTAAACATGTAGTAAATATTTAGTTGATTAGTTGTTTTGATAGATAATTGTCGGTATACTAACGGTACAGTACAGTTTGGCATTTCACTAAGCAGGTAGGTATGTATTTTTGTGGATTTAGATTTTTAAAACGCAGACCATGAACTGTTGACGATCTACACTTTTGATGGGTTGCCACATGTAGAAAATGTTTCGGTAAGTTTAATTTATGAACTTTATTTTTCAAAATTTATTTACTTTATGGTTGTTGGATTTTCTATTTTTGGCTGTCTGTTTTTTTTTTCATCTGTAGCGTCTGGGATTGTTGGGTATTCACTTTAGCTCTGCTCTTCCTGCAACTTTTTGTTTTGATTATTTTCGATGTACAAACGTATTTGTATTTATTGATTTTGTCGAGTACGTATTTTAGCCTCTCGTATATCAATTTTCGTTACACGTTTATTTCGGAGCGTATGGTGTGTATAAATGTTGTGAAAATTTTTGCGTATTATTGACAATTACATGTGTAGTATGTATGTATTTGGACGTAGAAATTTTGTATGTAGTTATTTTCGCTAGTTTTCTATTTTATTTTTGTTTTCTTTCTCATAATTGGAGATCCTTTTGGTTTTGCTGACTCGAATTTTTATGTGCTTTTCGTAAATTTCACTTAAAAGCTTGTCAGACGTGGCAATATATTTCGTATGCATTGGAGCTCTATAAAATGTGGATGGAGTGTACTTTAATTAACCATTACAAATATCTTTCCAAACTGCTTCACTTTACTTGTTTTGCTACATAAATTCTAATAGGAATATAAAGTATACGTAAATTTAGAAATTTTTTATTTCAATAGCAACTTAACCGCTTTTTAGACTAAACGCATTCGAAAAAACTTATTCTTATGAGATTTGTTCAAGGTTTTAGTTTTTGTTCTTAGTACTGTAAATTTTTATTTTTTGTTTTATTTATTTATTTTTTTTTTTCAAATACATATAATATACATATGTATGTATGTAATTGTTATTCGTATTCTCCTTCGTGTATATTTTGTGTAAATAACACTATAAATGCAGCTCAAAGAAATTTTTTGTTGAGTTCTATTTTTTAAATGTATTTTTTAATGGTTTTTTATTAGTAAATACTCCCATAAATAGTTTTTCACTGTAATGTTCTTGTTGTATTTTATATTATTATTATTACTTTTTTTTAATACATATGACCTTGAGGTAGTTAATTTATTTCATTCTCAATTACTTACTTTTTTTTTAAGTCAAATGGTGTTCAAGTATTATACATTTGGTGATCTACTGTTTTTTACGATTTAAATACACATAGTATGTATAACATTATTCCCCGCTATTTTGACTGTGAATTTATTTCTTACAATTTCACTAACTTCTTAAGTCGTCTGACGTTCCTAACAACGCGCAAACATACTCATATCTTACTATACACACATGCATGTACGCTCTGTCGTTTGGTTTGGCTTTGATTTTATTGTTGTTTTTGTAGTTGCTGCTGCATTTGATTTTATACCGATTTCCATTTACTAGTTATTTCCATACATTTATCTATTCGTTAAAGTGTACGCATTCTGTACAGCGTATTAATCGATAGCTCTCATCGAGTACGCACAACTTCTCCATCGTTGGCAATAAATAAATCAAGTGCTATCTTTTGCTGGAAGTAGTTGAAGTGTCAAATGAAATTCTACCGGAAATGAGTTGTTTAATTAAATAAACGAATCGTGTGTGTGTGTGTTTTTTTAAATAATATATAGCAGTAGCAATAGCAAATGTTTATAACTAAAATGCAAATAAGTGCTTGGCAACAACAAGTATTATAAAAATATATTCATGGTGGCGCAAGGTGTTGTGGCGATCTCAAGCCGCCTGTTTGCTTGCAGCGTCTGCAGCATAATGTAATATTGTTGTTTTAAACCTAACCGACGGACAGACATATGTATAGATATTCAATTTCTTTGTGCGTGCATCAGGAACTAAAAACTACGTGGTGTTGCAGCAAATGCAAGTACTTTAAAGGCTATGCCAGTAGCGGCCGCTGGGACAACATTTGTATGCGACACAACTCAGATTTATAACTTGTCAAGGATTTGCCAGATTTTTTGGTTAGCTAAGAGAGATTTTTTATGATTTTATAACGAGAAAAAACTGTTTTTGTTAATCAAGTGCACGTGGTATGCAGCATGAATGCCAAGTCATTTGCTCGCTGCTGGAATTTTCTGCCTTGTGAAAATGTTTTAAGAGGAAGCGGAAGTTTTTAACAAAATCTGTGCCACGCTAGAAAAGTTGAAGTAAATACTACAAGAAATTGAAAAATGATTGTAGTAAATATTTAGTTATGTATGTACATAACAAAATCTCTTTTATTTTTAAATAAATTAAGTTAAAAGTGTTTCTAATGTTAGTTGCAAAATAAACTCGGCTTAGCTAATTGTGCAATTCCAAAGCTCTATTTATGCTTAATACATATATTACGCATTAAAAAGAAAAAAGAAAAAAAAAACAAAACTAGTGTAAAACTATCTATGTGCATTAGGGCGGAGTAATTTAATTTCGAAAAAAAGTGTATGGCAGTTGTTTTTCGAAGACAGCTGAATGAAGGAAAACGAAGTGGAAAGGAATAAAAAAAAAGCACTCATCAAGTGCTTGTTTATAGAAAATTTTTTTGATTTTACATATGTTTTTTGAAGGAAACGATGGATTCTATTGCATTTGCCATTATAGTTGCGGAATAAGAGCGCGCTATGGGAATGATTTCGGGCTATGCTGTCCGGCATAGTAAGCATGGGCGCATCTATGTCAGCTTCTGGTTGAATTGTTGAACCACAAGCCAGAACTCCTATGCCTGAAGAATTGATTCTCAATCCAGTTAATGCAAATAACAGCTTCTTCCAAGCCATTGAAAACATGCACTTTGTTAGGTCCACCACCTGTTGCATTTGCTTCTGCCTTCGGCCGCGCTTAGGGATTATAACCCTTACAAAGTAGAATTCTCCTTTCTGTGTTGCCGGAGAAGTAGGGCTTCCGCATGTCAAAGGTATACAACATTTCTTGTGCATATAACTCCTGCTACGCCATCCATAGTATTTTCGCGCAGAACCCACATCGAAATTTACAAAAAAGTGCATAGTGCGAACCGAATTTATTAATTAACTAGCAGTCGGAAATTTGAAACATTTGTTTTAGATAAAAGCATAACCCTTTGATTACACATGTATGTCAAAATTTTTTGGATTCGGGTTATGCGTTTGCACACAACAACCGAAAATCATTGTACAAATAACTAAACCGGACCCAAGTTTCTCGATAAGGGACAACAGAGATTCTTTTTTGTTCGTTTATATAAAGCAGTGGATGAAAATGTATGTACATGGGAAACGCAAATTTATCTGTTTAGGCAACACCACTAATATTTCCTCCAAAAGCACATCGACTTACATCTTTTTGCTTAATTTTTACCTCGCTTCCGACACAAAATTGTTTTCGTACAAAATTACGCAAAATAGCTGTCAATTTCTTACTCGTTCGATTTTAGGCATGCATTAGGCATTTCGAAAGTTCGAAAATACGATACGGATTGCAGCATACTATTTCTACGATTCGTAGCAAAATCCGAATACGAAAGAGTTGCGGAATAGGCGTGTATATACCAAAAATGACGTTTGACCCTCCCAATTTTTAAAATAAAAATCTGTGCATTATAATTTTTTCTGAATGAAATACATAAATTTTTTATTTAAAAAATTTTGTGTTTTCTTTATATTTAGGAAACTACTTCACAAAACCGAGAAAATAGAAAATTATGTACACAATTTTTTGGTATCTACAATGAAAAAAAAAATGTCGACCAAAAAGTTACAAAATACTACTTATTCTTTTGAAAATTGGGAGGAGAAACGTAATTTTTGGTATATAGTTTGCTCGCCATTTTGGCTTAAAATTATCATAGAATTTTAATTTGCTATATGCCTTCTTGGAAAATTTTGCTTCTAACAAACTACTCCGCCCTTATAAACATATTCAATTTTATTAAAATAATTTATTAAAATAAAATAAAATTGAATATTTATTAAAAAAAATTGAATATTTTCGCGCTAAAATTTCTAGTAAGTGTTTGGTTGTGGAAATTTTTTTTTTTTTATTCCAATGCTTTGCTGTTTAACGAGTGCTTAAAGCAAAAGCATAATAAGTGATATATCGAGATTTCGGGGTTAACCGAATTTCTAGAGAATTATCAAGAAGTTTGTTTGCTTTTGGCTGTTCTGCGGATTTCAATGGAGCAAACTACCTTATTGTAAGGAAATTAAAAAGAGTGAG